GGGGGAAAGTGTTCCCAGTAATAATGTGTCAGATTATTACTGAGGTCAGTGTTGTGCATGTTATCAATTTTACTTTGAAATAAAGTCGTTTAGAAATTGTGGAGGTTAGACTTTGCGTTTGTAATGTTAGCAATGTCTCCTTGTTCCCAGTGTCGGTCTGTGCTCGAAACACTGTTATTATAAGCAAGAGGAATGATGGCAAAAACTGCAAAAATAAGATCAAAGGTTCCAGTTTCACTTTGGCCTGTGCTTCTTTTCAGATGGAGAAAGTTCTGTCTGTTGCTGAAGATGTGAAGATTATGGGAAACAACCTTTTTAAGTCTCAAGACTGGAAAGGCGCGGTCAAAAAATATAGTAAAGCTCTCAGGTAAGGTGGTTTTGATTGACTTGCAGTCATAATCACCTTGTCTTAAAGAGAAGTCACGTTGAAAAGATATTCCACAGGAATTAAATATTACTCCCAGTAACCCAGAGATGATTTTTATCTGTCAAAGTGCTCTGTGAGGATTGTTGTGGTGTATGAGCCTGATTTTCAAACAAAGGAAACAGTAGCAAAGAATAATTCCAAAAGCTAACAAATGATCTTTTTATGTTCATAGGTACTTGGAGGTGTGTGGAGAACAAGTGGAAGAGGAGGCACAGAAGAAGCTGGAGCCCACAGCCCTCAGCTGCTATCTCAACACAGCAGCCTGCAAACTGAAGATGCAGCTGTGGCAGGAAGCTCTGGACAGCTGCAATGAGGTGACATGAGCTGGAACAAGGCAGACTGTAGCACATATCACAGATTCAGCCGAGTGCTCCTGTGTGGCTGTTAGGGTTTACCGCTGGTGAACTTTTCAGGCTTCGCATGCTAAGCTTATGTCCTCTTACTTCTGGAAAACGGCTTATATGATTAGGTTTGAAGATATCAATCAGTACCCAGTTTCTGTTGCTGAAGATAGCACCCACGAGTGCTTAGCCTGATTCTGTCTACAGAGACTAAAATCTGTCTACCAGCACCTTTAACAAACTTTGGGCACTTGTCATCAGTCTGGAGTTACAAAGGAAATAAAAGAATTTGTCAAACCGATTATATATTCCTTGTAGATTACATGCATTTTAGGGAAAAAAGTGTCTATTTAGTCTCTTTGATGTTTTATTTCTGTCTACTTCAAAAAATCATGTGGAAATCTTTTAGATTCTGTGAAATGTGACCTTAAAATTTTATCAAATCATCCAAAGAATCATTTTTCTTGTCTTACAGGCTCTGGAGCTGAGTGAAGGAAACACTAAGGCACTTTTCCGCAGGGCTCAGGCCTGGCAGGGGTTAAAGGAATATAACAAAGCCATGGTAATGTCTACAGAACAGCCTCTTGTGTTAGAGACTGCACAGCATGAACACACTGCCTTTTATATGTCAGTTATCTAGTAGATTCTCCTGTAAACAATTGCAGTGACAATTAAACATGAAGTTTAGGATTTTGCAATTTGGCATTAACATTAAAAATATTTTAAATCAATTAGCAGGACTGATTTTAACTAATTATTTTTATTGTGCTTCTAACTCGATAGTCTGATCTGAAGAAAGCTCAGGAAACTGCTCCAGAGGATAAAGGTAAGGTCTGCAGTGGTTTTGTTTTAACTAAAGTCTTGGTTTGATTTGTCCTCATAGCAAGAATACACCAAGTTTATGGTCAGTGGTCATGGGAATTTGCATATTAGTGATCAAGGAACTGACCTCACAGCCCATTGTTCATTCAGTGGGCTAGTTTCAGTCACTGTGCAATGTACTGTTTATAAGATTGGGGAAACCTGCAAGTCAGCTGAGTCTGAAGAAGGAACGTTTCTCCCACTGAAAACGCTACGTCCGGATGAACAGAATCGACCTTCTGGGACACTAAGTTTATGTTTTATTTTTCAATATATATTTGTGTTATTCAAACTTAGCAAAGAGGTCATAGTCCTGCTGGGGAAAGACAATAGTTTTTCCCCAAAAGATTTCTGTTCCTCCTAATTGGACTTTTTGCAGAAAATGAAAAAGTATGGTCCCCTGAAAGGTCAACTACAACACACCAATGAATCAGTTTCTTTAATGGTTGGATTTTGCATAGCTAGTAGGAAAATAGGATGCTGTAAGAGGGAGGAGGGAGTGTTCAAGGAACCACATCCTCACTATGTACGTTTAAGTGTGCTGGGTGCATCAGGCTCGCTGCAAAACTGCAGCTTTTTCCAGCTTTTTGACAGTGTTTCATAGCCCTTTTGATATGTTAAGCTTCAGTTCATTGGCTGCAGGCTAGAAGATAAGAGCTATCAGTGTGCTTCATGCTCTCTCTGTGCCTTTAGGAGCAGGCTGTCTTTTTAAACTCACTAGCCGGGCAAAAAGTGGATGTATGGGAACTAAAACTTGCTCTGAAAACTGGATATTTGAGGGGAAATGTTAATAGAAACTAGAACCGATGTATAAAATTTCAAATCTCTTCTTTTTCACAGCAATCACCAATGAATTGAAGAAAGTCCATCTTAAAATCCAGGAGGAGAAAGAGAGAGAGAAGAAAATCTATGCCAAAATGTTTGCCTAAACTATCTGACCTCATGATGCAATTGGCTGTCATTATTTACAGTGGAAGCTGTACCCACAGATAAGGAGTGTATCCAGGTGAAAATGTTCAGTGTTTTCATTTCATGGGTCCTCTCATGTTTTTACATCATGCACATTTCTTAATGCCTGTAAGCTTGGACCTGCCTTTACTGTAATAAATATCGTGAACATCGGTGCTGGAAAACCAACTCATGTTAATGGTTTGAAGATTAGCAAAGCAATTTTGTGTGTGTGTTATTCCATGGTAGGGATTTTAAGAGTGCTCTTGGCTACAAGCAGGATATCCATTTGTGTTTATTTATGGTGTTTTTGTGTTTATTTTTTTAAACTGAGGTCAATAAAACAAAAGGCACAACCGTCAAGTTTCTTTATTAGTACTGGGACATTATCATAATATATACAATACTGTATATACCACCAGTAGTGCTGATATGAACCTGAGGTGATCATATATACACTATTACAATTGGTCAAGTACTTCTTAAAAACAAAAAACACTTAAACGCCTCCAAAGCAGCAAAAACTGCAAATTCTGACTTCAGTTTTACACTGCCTTGCAAAACAATTTCTCCAACACCAAGTTTTTAAACATCCTTTGTCCTTTTTTGTACCCTCAAATAACTACATCTCTATATACTCAGGCACATTTTCCATACTCAAGTAATCTTTCAACACAAAAAGCAGAAAAACACCCAAGATGGTCACATTCCATTGTAGGCTGGTCCGCCACCACCTTCGGGCACAACCCAGTTGATGTTCTGGCTCGGGTCTTTGATGTCACAGGTCTTACAGTGGACACAGTTCTGAGCATTAATCTGCAACCTCATCCCATCACCTGTGTCCAGGGGAACATACTCGTACACACCTGAGTGTTTGTGGGTGAGAGAGAGTAAACGAGTTAGAAAACCCAGAAGAAAAGCTGCTTGAATGACATAATGACATGATTTATCTATGCGAGATACTTTTTATATCAAATCCTTACATGGATACTGAGGAGTTCTTCCTTTTATAGTTTCTGTTATGGTTGCTGCACTGTTAGTTTTCTATCTGTTTAGGTGCTTGCTTTTACCCCTCTGACAGCATTTTTGGGATCACTGTCATTCTGAATAAAGAAGCCGTTGTTACATTCTTTCCAGATGGAGGATCAAAATCTGACAGTACATGTCTGCATTCATAATTTCATCAGTTTTGACAAGATCCCCAAATGTGACAGATGGCTCTAGACACTGTTGTACTCTCTCCTGACCTCCCCTGTATATGTTGACAATCATTAAGACCAGTTGCCACTGATTTGTCAGTCCAGTGTTTGTGTAATCCATCTTTCAGCCTTTTCTTCTACTTCTGCTTCAGCAAACAGAAGTATGGATAAACTAAAGGACCAGATGTGTCTTTCAGGTCTGCATATTATTTCCTATTTCTTAACACTAGAACTGCTTTAGCTAGAACAGACCCCCTTGCATTTTAAAAATCTTGTGAAAGTTGAAATAAAACACCAACACTTATATTTTATGACTTTCCCTAAAATGTGTCCATTCAGTGAATGTGATGAGGTCAATTATAAACTATTTATGGGCAATGACTAGTTCAGTATGTTTTTACAGTGAGACTGTTTTTATGCCTTTTTTATTTTAGCCTAAGTAAGACCAGCCATTATCCATTGTGCTAGGTATTGTAGCAGCTGGATAGTGTAGTGATAAGACTACATGCCTTGGGTTGGGTTGGGAGTGGGAGTTTGATTCCCGCCTGGGGGTGTCTGTATCCAGTAGTCCTAGATCCCCCACTCCAGACATGAGTGACATAAATATGAGGATCCAGAGTGCTACGGCAAGGGGGAGCCAGGCCGACAGGTCAAAGGGGGAGATCTCGTCACCCCAAATGTGATAGAAGAAAGGATCGTTGAGTGTGGGAGTAACTGATCTACACTACGGCGGCAGCCTACAGCATACATCATTTGGACTGTGGAAGTGTAGTTGGATGATAGCAAAGAGTGCACTATTTGGCATTTAAGGAAGCTGGAACAAACAATGCCAGATGGTCTGGACACACCCAGAGCTTTCTACAGCTACACTATTTTTTTTCTTGGTATGAGAAAGTTCCCATTTCAATCTGTTCTTTGCTAAGTTCATCCCTTGAGTTTGCACGAATGACTCATGGGTCAGTTTAAAGTTGCTTTCTGAAAATAGTCAAGTCATTATGTCTGCTTCAGGTCTTTCTTTTAATGGTTGCCCCACCTGCAGGCAAAATGCCTTAATGTTGTGGGTTTTTATTTTCATAAGTTTTCATAAATTATAAATCTTTTTAAATGTAGGAAGAACCATTAGCTAAAATTGGTCATTTTTTCACTCATTAAAAGAATGTTTTGTTTCTACCACAAAGGTTAACAAGATGAAATAATGAGAGTAAAAGTTGATAGTTTAATCAGCTTTTCAGCAGCAAATCTAATTTTCCCCATCTCCTAGTTACATTACTGCTCCCTGCTTTAATTTTAATAGCACATAGACCTAACTATTACCAAACCCTATAAAGCCCAGTGATAGACTCCAGCCCCACTTCTACTCTGAACGACGTGGAAGATGATGAATGGGTGGATGATAAAGACCAAAGGTGCACACAGTGATGGTAAAGTTGTAGATTTTTTTTAGACTAATCATGGTTAATGAGTGTTTGTGCCCAGATGAATGTAGGCTGTGGTAAATATAATAGTTTAAGCCTCCAAACAACAGCCTGAAACTGGTAATGATGAGTGCAGGGCAAAACCTAACAGTGCTTCTGTAACTACATTTTAAATTTTAAACATGTAGCAGGTTCTAGATTTTGTGGCCTTATTATATGGAACAGTGTAAGGCTGACTGATTATACTCCAAACATAGTTGTGATTAAAAAAGACAAAAAAAACAACACAACCTCAAGGATAGTTTATAGGCTGTAAGGTTGGGAGCAAGTGATGGATTTAAGCTGTGTTAGTTCTCTGCTGCTATTCGCCAGCCAACCCTGGTATTCCCATAACTATTAAAAAAGCATTTGGACCTTGCTGACCTAAAGCTGCACTGTGTACAGGGGTGTTAATGTAACTGCTGGCCTTTCATATCCAGTCTCCCATGCTCTTTAGGGCTTGCGTCTCTGGGTCTCAACTTGTGCTGCACTTTGCTTCTCGTAGACCTCACATCATTAAGTTTGAGTTTCCAGAGAATTCAAAGGGAGCCACAGTCTGAGAGACAGAATAATGAGTTCAGCTAAACTTAAATAGAGATAAACACACAGAACCTGAGCCTGTCTACCTGGCTTAATAAACAAACTCACTCATAGCCTAAACCTACTGATAATAATGTCATTACATTTGTTGTGAGATTTGGTTTTAAACAGAGGCTGAAGCTTTTAAAAACAAGAAAATGTTACTCATTACCACAGAGACACCCAGGAATGCTGGCCTCAACTCGCTCTCTTTTTTAAAAATACTTCACTTGCTTGCAACGTTGCCTGGTGTGCATGCAAAACCTACGGCACCTATAGAAATTTACAGTCTGTCAGTTTTTTTGCAAATGACCTTAAAATATTTTTGGGGAAGAAAAAGAAAATCAGGATACAAGATTTTTGACAGCCTCCTTTTTCCACATGTAGCACGCAGAAGGAATTGGTAAACTTGGGTGTTTTTTTTTAACATCCTATGGTTAAGGTGTGGAAGTTTCCTGGAAAGAAATTGTAAGCAGCAGCAAACAAGAGGACATAATATTAGCTGCTACTTCTGCACATCACCGCAATGTGATACCTCACAGGCATTCACCTAATATCCGAGCTTACTGCACCCAACATTTATGCCATTAAAGCCTGCATATGTCAAAATAGCTTAAGTTCTCAATAAGACATTAACCCATCAGAACATCTTCAATGAGCCTTGGAATTGAATCTACAACTCTCGGGAAATAAATTGCAGTGATGTACTACCAGACTTTACTTCATTTGCTGTTTTAATCATTGTGGGTAGTGCTTCATAATTCACCGGTCCAAAATCTCCTAAAGGTATTCAACTGTGTTCAAGATCTATTGAGTAGGATGCTCACAGGAATAGTCACATCATTTTCAGACTAGTAAAACCAGGATAGAGATGTTTTACTTTAAGACAAAGGTGATAAATTCAGAACAATGTTTTATTGATTAGGAGAGACTCTTCCTTGGAGGGTAAAAGAGGGGCCGGAATCCCTTATTTAGAGGTCAAGGTCTCCATTGGTAATAATTCAAAGAAAGAGGTTATAGTGGGGCTGAAGCTTATGCCTGCTTAAGTCAAGTAAAAGGCA